ATTTCATTTTTTCATTTTTTTGGCCTGCAAATGGGACATAGTACCTTTAAAGTGTTCTAATTAACACCCTTCTGCCTCCAAAGAGTTACTATGGTGGTGGTTGTTATTGTTGTAGTGGTAGTGATTGTTGTTGTTGTAGTGGTTGTTTCTGTTGCTGGTGTTGTTGTTGCATTACTTATATTAACTACATTTTACTCACAACCCTCTACTCATAACCACGTGCACAATGATCCATACAGATTCTCAATTAACATATATTTATTGTGTCAAATTCTTTTATTTCATACTTTTGTACACATATATAGAACTTTTTGTCATTATATAACAACTTCAAATTTTATTTACATCAACATTTACATCATATACAGAAATGCTATAGTGTATATACAATCAAAAAATAACATAGTGCAATTCTATATTCACCAGATCAGATCAAATCTCGAATGATATGCATGACTATTGATCCATTTAGATAAAGTGCTACACACTTACTATTGCATGCCTGGAAGTTCATTTCTTTTTCTTTAATTATTTCCTGTTCCATCCAAGAAATAGGCACACACTATGGAATCAGCTTCCTTGGTACATGTTTGGTTGTCCAGAGTATAAATTTCCTTCAGAGTAACAGTGGATTATTTTCCTACATTTATTATGTATGTTATTCTTCCAAATATCAGAAGGGAAATTTAAATCTTCTTATTTTACTCTCTTGTTCCCAGTGAGCCTGCATGGCTTGACTGAATTTGCCAATTCACCAACATACAGCCTGATAATGATTCTCATTGTCAAGTGAGATAAATTTGAACTTTTCATTCAAATAAATAAATAAGATATACATTTTCTCTCATGAGAGACCCGCCAGTGAGGAAAAATGAATCTATATTCCTAATATAAATGACTCGAATAAAGTTTTGAGAGTGAATAAAAATGACTTCTTTTCAAGAGAAGGTGTACCATTCAGCACTAATTTATCAAATCCCCACCCCCCCCCCCCCCCACTCAATCGAATATATCCTTTTTTTCTTCTGTCCATCAAGTTTTTTCTGGGCAACAGTCTATATATCCCCTGTAGATCGGAAGACTGTTCATGCCGATTCTACCTAGTCCTATTTGCTGCTTTCTGCTTGAGGGCACTCCATCTTCCCTGCATCCGTGCCTGACGACTCTGCTGTTCATTCAACCTGGTGTAAGAAAAAGGGAAACAAAAGAAAATATTTGAGAAAAATAATGTACACCTTCATAACCAGGCCGGATTGATATGACAATTGACCAAATATATGGATTAGTAGGCGGTTTCCCGGCAAAATATGTATCGATCATCACGTATTATTCAAAACATATTCTTTCACATGATTGGAAATATAGAGCTTCCATTTCATTTTTTGAGAGGGGGGCATTTCCAAAACTAGTCTAATATACCTTTAAATGATTAGTTTTTGTCATCATTGAAGAGCAATGAATCAGTGACTGCATGAATAACTTCATCACAACTCAATACCCTACCTGTTTGAGAAGAGCACATCAAATCTGCCCTTGGCCTGCGTGGTGTGCAGGAGTGTCGGAGCCTTGGTGTCCACGTCCTCCAGCGTTCTCCAGAGGTTAGTCAGGCAAGCAAAGGAGTGCATTCCGTACGCATAGACAGTAGGCTTGGGGTCAAAGGTCACACCGTTTTCAGCGTCAGCTTCTGCTTCTTCTGGGATATCATCCTCTTCTCGCGTTTTCTCTCCTTTGCGTAACAAAAGCAAAAAGGGAAAAAGGGAACAGGAATTATCAAACTGAAACTTTAAAATGTCATATATCGAATTGCTTTAAAGCCCCACCTCATACTTATAGCTACTTGCACCCTCTATATAGCAAACAATGCCTAAGCGGTGACCATTGGTCCCCGATGGTCCCCGTTTTCTTATAATAATTGAGAGCGCTGATTTGATGAGATATTAAACCACCTGTCAGTGACCATGCAGGGAGGTCTAATCCCTCCTGGCCAAAATAGTGCAGAGGGGTTTTAAAACACATTTGTAAAACACATAGTGAATTTCATTGTGATCAATACAGTGTCCATAAAAAAGGTACAGACTTCTAACAAACCATCCAATACGAAAATATCAATCTATTATTTTTGTTATGTTGAAGATTGGTGGGTGTGACCTCAATCACCCATGGTAATGGAGCTCTCACACTCTGCCGTGTAGGCCTACTGTCCACCTGCCGGGCTATTAAAAAAACAACAGAGTCCAGAACGTTGGGTTTTGAGCGAACTTGTCCCCGGCCGCAAAAAAAAAATTCATAAAATTAATCTTTTCACCGTTTCGTTGCCATCTTCTGACCGTTCTCACCGGGCGCATACCAGGTGTTAAACGTGCTTCTACCGTCTTCACCGCCCAGATTGACTTTTGTTGAAAATTTTGGCCGTTTCCATACCGGGCCCATACCGGGTCTCGAACGGGTGCACCGGGTTTGTAGCAGCCACCTACCAGTCACTTAGCGTCCCCTCACCGCTCGGAGCGTCCTGTGAGCGAGTCCCCGGACTGCTGACGTCATGACACGACTGCCATAAATACCCCGATTTGAACGGCAACGGTCAGTCCGCTCTCCATTTTTCATCACCGTTCTGTAACGGGTTATGAGCGTGTTGTGAACGTGTTCATACAGTGTGACCGTTTTCATAACGTATTCATACCGTCCTCATACCGTTCAACACCGTCCTCTTGCCGCTTACTTGCGGCCGGTGCCAGCCGGCCAAAGTTTTGAACATGCCCAAAACTTTCGCCGGTTCCCACCGGGTGTAAATAAGCGCCAACGCCCTATTAACGTGTTGCCCGCTTTGATAACGAACCACCGTGTGCCCTCGCCGTTCTCCACCGTCCGCAGACATTTTCGCGCAAGGTGGCACACGGTAGGCCTACACGGCAGAGTGTGAGAGTCACTTAACACCCCTGGAAGGCTAAAAGTTGCTTCAAAACTAAAAGACAATATCTGTAGTACACTTCCCATTTCATCATAGGTGACAGCTACGAGCCTTTGTTCTGCACAGCTACTTTTGTTGGGACCCACCAGCTGTCATTGATGGATATAAAACCAGCATTTTTTAGAGTTGTTACTTTGCCATGGCATTATTTTTCAACCGTGTCATATCTGACCACAAACAATTGAGGGTATTGACATTATTGACATTATTTCTGGAGGAAGCGTAGCTCACCTCTCACGAAGAGCATTTGACCAGCAGCAGCTAAGGAGATGACCGGCTTCTGGTTGTCACATTTGAGGATGGTAGATTCTGGTAGCTTCACCAGACAGAGCTTCTTGCCAGTAAAGACATTGCACAGGTATATGTCCCCAAACTTTGTCACCAACAATGCCTACATGGAAAGAGCAAAGAGTGTGAACAAGAATAAAGATGAAAGTTTTTCTCTTATACTTTCTTTTTGCACAAATCTATTAGACATGTTGGTAAAAGTGTTTGGAGAAAAAAAAAGGAGAGAAAAAAAAGAATTTTTCATGCAAGTCTTTAAACACAGACCTTTATTTCAGCTCAGAAATTCTATACTATTTTGTTTTCAGTGTATCAACCTCTCTCACTCATAAATTACATGATTATTTGAAAAGAATGGTGGTAAATATTATTCATGTTTTCTTCAAACGGTTCCTGGCTAGGATTTATAATAATAGTTTGTAATTCTTATATAGCGCTTTTCAGGAGCGCAGGCCCTCTCAAAGCGCTTTATAGATCTATAATATTTGATATATTTGAAGAAAATAACAAAAAAAGAAATGGGACAAATGCAAGAGAAAATCTTTAGGTCAAATAGACGAGGAAAACAAGGATGAGGAGAATTCTCACCGTGTCTCGCAACGTAACGACAGGGGCCACGTGGCACGCCCCATCTCTCCTGTCCCTCCACGTCCCACGATACACCTGCTTTACCGTGGGCTTATCACCATAGCAACAGGATATGGTTGCTAGGTCACCATTGCTATCGCCGACCAGGACAGCAATCTCTGGCTTGGCTCTGAGGGCATCCAGCCTGTCGCTCGGGGAGGTGACGGGTTTGGTCGGGGGAGGGGGCAGTATGTGAAGGTGACAGATGGGACGTGTAAAGACCTTTTGAGCCATGATAGGAATACCTGTCGATGATAAAGTTTACAGAGGATTATAAGAGATTAGAAAAACATTTTGCCACAACCCAAATCAGATTCAACCAGTATTCTTCTTGTATATGAAATGCTGTTTAGAACTGTTATAAGTATGGGAAAGTGCAGATACCAGAAATTTGTTATAATAAAAGTCATATTTTTATGTTTGCTGCATTACCAGTTAATACTGTAACCAACTCATTTATATATATATATATATATATATATATATATATATCTACCTAGATTTCTAAAATATGTTAAATAAACACATTATTAGGCTATCTATTTGGGTGTTCACAGCATTCAAGGAATTAATTCATTTGAACCGGTATTCATTTAACACCTGGGTGGAGAGTGGTAAATATTATTATCTTGCCAAAGGACATTATTGCTGCAGCAAGAATCGAACTGCGAAACCTGTGATCCACAGTTTAATGACGTTTCCACAAGACCACAACACTTTTACACCATGAAAGAGACTTAAATGTTTTATATGTATGAAACTTGATCCCTGTAATACTTTATGAACAAACAAACAAACAACACTCACTGAGATGTTTGTCCCATAGGGCTATGGACCCATCCTCCAGCCCTAGAGCAATGAGTGAAGTACATGGTGTGGTAGTCATCAATGTAATCTTGCCAGCATTGGGCCATACTTGATCCGGCTTGTGCTCCAAGTCTAGGGAGAGGATTTAAAGAAAATAACAGCTAACACGCAATTGCACAAGTAATACACTGCAATGACTACAGTAATTACTTTTTGATCAGTGTAACGTAGTGGTTCTAGGACACATTCGCTGATAAAAAAAGCTCTACAATCAATGTCTTACACTAACCAACTCATAATGTCAACCCCTGACAAAACACTCTGCCTAACACTAATCCTAATCCTAAATCTAAATCGAAACTTTAAACCAATCGCAACTTTGAACCCTTCCACTAAGTTTGACAAAACGGTCAATGTCCTACACTAACCAACTCATAGCGTTAACCCCTGACAAAACACTGCCTTACACTAATCCTAACCCTAAATCTATATATATGTAACCTTCAACCCTATCGCAACTTTAAACCCTAACCCTATGTTTGACAAAAGACAGCCCAGAGCAAAATGTCTCTGGATCAAATTAATGTCTGATCACCACAACAATAATTTTTCCCTGCTTCAAAACAGAAAGTAATGATGAGCACATCAAAATAGAAATGAGAGTATATATAGCAACATACTTAGTATATGCAATCTTTTCACTTTGTGTGATTTGATTCCATGCTCAGGGAAATCACTTCAGATCTTACCTTTTGCAGTCTTCAGCAGGTTGTAAAGGCAGATATTTGTAGAGTTAGACCAACTAGCCACAAAGATGTGTGCCTGGTCCTGGTTTATTGGAGCTGCATTGGCAGAGGCTAGCATCAACCCGGGTTTCACAAACAGACATGTTGCCCTGCATGGTCTGAGAAAGAAGAAATTGCAGTACCGGTAATGATTAAAATTAATGAAATAAACCAATGGAAATGGTAATGGAATTATACTGGTTAGCTGAAATATAGGAAGGAAATGTGTCCCACAATTGAAAAGGGCTTTCCCCTTTGAAGAATCACTATTATGAACTCATCTATCTTAATCTAAGCAACAATAATTTGATAAAAACTTTAAAAGATATCATTTAATATGTATATTAGTCTACCATCCTGAATTGAGAGAGGTCACTTTATATGAGAAGCCCTGCCTAAATGCATGAAAATCAGCAATCTAACACAACTCTGAAGTATAGTCTTCCAGAGACCCTAAATTCATAAGACTTTGCAATGCTACATATGACAAATATTTTGCAGGGAAATGTATGTAAACAATCAAGAGAAAATCACAATTTTTGCATAAAAATACTAATTAATTAACCAACCAAATTTATCACTTTATTTTTTCAAGAGTCTCTTAAAGACACATTTTTTTTTTTTTTTTTTTTTTTTTGGGGAGGGGGGGGGGGTTAAAATAGTACTATATTATGACAAAACAGTTATTCTTTCTCTTCTCTTCCCTCATGTCTGCTATATTATCCCTCCTTTTCCTTTTTCTCAGCGCATAGGGACTTACATATATTTTTATGATATGCACTATATAAGAATGGTTTATTATTATTATTACGTCAGCTGTTAGCTAGCACAGGTCACATGATTCAATGCATAGAGATTGATTTTGTTTCATCCCTTCCCCTGCCATTTGAATGCAGGACAGTTTCTCTATTAGCAACAAATGGTAAGCATACGTGCAACCGTCCCTTGGATAGGATGTTAAATGGAGGACCCGTGTAGAGAAGAGTCACCACTTTTGCACGTTATAAGAATGCACTGCACTATTTGTATAAGAGTAGGGGGAAACCCTGGTGCAGTCTTCCACCTGTACACCCTAGTATATACAGTACATCTGCAATAATCTTCAGTATTGAAGGAGGTAGATCATCCATAAGAAGAAGAAGAAGAAGAAGAAGAACTTTGCAAAAGACTGAACTCACATCTTTTCTGCATTGTGGTACTTTGGGTCTGTGTATGGCCCAAGGACTTGATCAGCAGCCAGTCTTCTGGTGTTGAGGTGCTCTGATTGTATGAGGTGCCTGCTGCCCTGACCGACGGTGGAACACCATTCCTCCGAGGCTGGGGTGGGTTGGCTTGGGTGCGGCACGCTGCTGCTGCTGGCAGCTAGGTAGATAACAACAGTAGGAGATACCCATTTAAATCTAGATACACTCAAACCAGTAGATGTAAATGGTATCCTGGCAGGAATTAATTCCTTGAAATGCTAGAGCGCCGTAATGGCAGCCGTGCTAAAGCCAGGGTAATAATCGGGAGCGCCAGGAGTGTCAAGTCTGACAGACATGAGCGCTATTCAAGAACCCATTATTAATATTATTATCATCATTGGTTTTAATGCAGTATGTTGAATATAAAGTTTAAATATTACATAGAGTGCAGACAGAATATCTAATATTCACCAATAATTTACTTCTCCATTTTCCTATGAGAGGAATGGAACTTACACAATGAAAAGGCTTGCTCAGATATAGTGAGCGCAGTAAACTTACGCAAAAAAGGGCCTGTAAAATAAAGAGTTATAGTTGTTCTCCTTCAATAAATCATTTAATAACAAACAATTCATTGCATGTAATACATATAAGTGTACCAAGAACTAACGGTGATACAATATTTTTTACACCAGACTTTAACTTTAAACCTTATGCTCTAGGACCCTGATTATAATCATTATCATGATGAAATTTACCTGATAGTTGGTCTGGTAGGGGTTTCACTCTCAGCACAGTGGTTGGTTTGGAAAGGTTTGCTGGGTTCCAGTCTGGCGCCGCGGTCGACGCACCGGCCGGGGGCACCGTCACTGCTGCGGTGGGGCTCATGGTACGGGCTGTGCCCTGTGAGGTTACAGACTGGGGACAGTGAAAAAAATAAGTACAGTCGAACCTGCTTTAGTTACCACCTGCCTACAAAGACCACATTTTTTGTTTCTCTTACAAATTGTTTCTCATTGAAACATGAACTAAAGGAAACTGTCTACAAAGACCACTTTTTGTGTTTCTCTTGGGCGAACGAGACAGGTTTGACTGTATATCTTATCTTACGTAAAAATCTGAGAAGTATGAAAAAGAAAGGCTCTGAGCTAGAAGAGCATTAACTCTTATATGCTACACAAATAATCTAGCTGTGCTTTATTGAAGTAATCATGGGATAGATATACCAAAGGCTTCAAGATTATTTAACTGCTGAAGAAAGTAACTTAAGTGTAGACCGTGTTCATTCCTTTCAAAATGGCATATGGGTTTTGGAGTGTGCAGCTAACAATGAAAAAAGAAAGGATTTGCTAAAACCACATGTAGATCTACAATGGCTTTAAAAGACCTTTGCTTCCCCTTTTGCTTTGCATGAAACAATCGAGACACTGCTCACTGAATGATAGTCTGAACAAGGGCAGGAATTGCAGACAGGATTATTTTCTTCTCATTTTAAGCAAGCACTTCCAACAAAAGATGACTTAACTTTTCTAAAAAAAAAGTTGTTGGAAAAATAAGGTGGATGTATCGAACAGATAATATTCTGGAGGGCATGTATCCCCCTTTTAAGACCCAGTCTCGTGTATCAATATCGATAGATCACAAATCTCTTCCCACTCCCCACCCCTCCCCCCTCCCCCCCCCCTTCTCCCCTCCCCCTCATTATGTTGTTGAGCTCCCTGTCACAGATTTTCTGGGAGTGAGCACTTTATTTTACCTTGGGTCGACTCAACGGCATTGAGAGCCCTTCCATAGGATGGCTGTACTCAATGGTATCGCTCGCTGACCCCTCCCCGGCACCCTCCTGCAAACAGAACAAAGTCATACATACAAGCAACATAGATAAGCATGCATGGGTTTGGGAATGTAGAAAAGAAAGTGACAACCATCAAACACCAACATGAGGTATTAAACTACATGCATCTAAAATAACAAAGGAATTATCAACTACCGGTATTGAAATTACCTTAATCTATATGTATATATAGATAATACTAAGGGAAAGATTTTAGAAAAAAAGGTGATTCTGACAACAAGCCATAATAACTTCAATAATTGTGTACCGACTACTACATGATCACATACGGTCCTAGGGACTGAGGAATAAAAGGACTACAGAGAATAGAGATGGGAGGGAGATTTGACCCCCTCGACAAAGAAGTGAGAACAATGTAAAATATTGTGAAACATTAAAAAGCCTCTCACTTCCATTCAGCAGGTGTTTCAGCAGGGGGCTTTCGCAGTAATAAATGGATAATGATGATTGATGACACACATCTAATATAAGTTTGAAGTACAGTTGCTTTACAAGGGTTAACTGTGCTGACCAAGGATTGTATTTTCGGGGTGACAACATTGACAAGGGAATACTGGATGGAGTTAAGAGGCCACAGAGTTCAAGAAACATTAATTTAGAGCAACATTCCGCCCCTTTTGAGTAGGAAAATTGGGGAAAAATTGGGAAAATATGGAAAAATCTGGAGATGGGGGTAAAATCAGGAAGAAGAAGAAAGAAAAAAAATCAGAAAAAAAAAATAGAGAAAATAAAATAAAATCAGGAAACCAATTTAAATTGGGTAATTGTCAGGCCTGGCTACACACAAACCTGTGCATTAGACAGATCTTCTATACTCTTAACGTGACTTGGCTGCTCCTGCTGCTGCTGCTGTTGCTGCTTGGCTATGGCAGCCTCGACATCCCTCACCCAGTTGTCTCTGGGAAGCTTGAAGACGTCTATCCAGGATTCGGTTGCATCGTCTTTATCGCCCTCTGCAAGAGAGGCAAACAGATTAAAACAGATCAAACTGCTGATGTACTATGTTTTCAATGCCGTCCATTGCTTCTCTCACCCAATTCTAGTAGAAAACAAGTACCCAGGCAAAGCTTGGAAGACAAGGCAAACAGATTAAATGGCTGATTTACTTTGTTTTTAATGCTATCCATTGCTTCTCTCACACAATTCTGGTAGAAAACAAGTACCTGGTAAAAGCTTGGAAGATCCAAGAGACATTTTGCATGAAGGAACTAATGCAACATCTCACATTAAGAGACATAAGTAAAAGGTCACCAACATCCCATTCAAACACATATAAATTTTATAACAAAGTATTGCACCAGCACTTTCATAACTCATTACCCAGGTGATTGAATACAAAAGTCTCGCCAACATTGCAAGGGCCTGTCACCAAATACATTGTTATATCATGGTAAGTCTTTGAAAGACATCTTCAACTGAATCTGTATTTTTTACCAGAGGTAGTCGAAAACTATGTATATAACATTACAACAGGCAAGTTGTCATAATTTCAAGTTTTACCTAACATTCAATTAATTTTCTTCCTGAAAAATTCCAATTTACACATGGGCTGAAGGAAGACAAATGAAGATATAATGCCTCGTCTAAAAACATACACTACCTTTAATTTAAGTATATTATCAAAAACATAATGTGTTGAGTGCATGGACACTGTTATCAGTTGCAATTCAGTTTTATAGCTTCAAGACTAATCCTTTTTTTCATTTTCATGTAAAAATTTATAAACCATGGAATAATAACTTACTTTCTATTGTAAGAGCAATGTAATCACCATCCCTGGAAAGGTGCATAGCAACAACCTGGGCACTGGAAGGTACTTCAGAATCAAAGTTCTTCAATAACAAAAGTGCTGATCCACTGAAACAGAATAGCCTGCAAACACCTGAAAGAGTGACAACAAGGTGAAAATATATACAACTTAATTGAAAAGGACAAAAAATAATGAATGGAATTCAGGTGAAAGTTTTTTGTTTTTCTTTAATCATTGTTGCAAAAATGAGTTGTGGTCTACAATGAACTAGAGTGTATGGCCTAGTCAAAAATAAATACTGATATAAAAACAAGAAAGTAAACAAATGTAATAGAAAATATGCAGTCAAATTATAAACAATTTGAAACAACTTTTGTGAGTAAAAGGAATCTACTGTTGATTGAATACCACCAGTTTGAAGATTTGATAAATTTTAGGGTGCACAGAACTATCATAAAGTATCATTTACTGGTACAAATATAAAATGCTCTTTACTTTATTAAAGGGGCTGTAGCATGGGAAATACTGGTTAACGCCATCCATGTCTGATTTTGGACAACTGCACGTAAACGAATGGGCTTGATTAACGGTAGTCAGCAACTCTCTACATGGTCAGCATTCGTGAAACAGACCGAAAATTCAATTTTGCGTATGTTGCACGCACGCGTGATTGCTGCGGTCGCATCCGTAGTCTTATCGATTGGCTCCAAGTCAGGCCATGGGAAAGACACGTTGTCTTGTCAGTATACAACCCCCTTTAAATACTGAAAATGAAGTGAAGTAGACCTATATGTACATGTACATATACACGTAAGGTCTTCTAACCATTGGTGTCGAGAGAAGCAACCAAGCACATCTGAACCCCGATCTGTGTGCTCTCCAAGGTGGTGAGTGCAGCACCCTCTTCTTCCCATGATGCAATGGGATTGTGTAGTGTAGCATGGAGTGCCAGCAGGCCCTTGTTGAGTCCAAGAAACACAGCGCTCCCATCTGGACTCCCAGCCATGCACAAGATATCTTCATTCTCCTGTATGTATGAAATTGTGAGGCATCAAGGACAATTAGATCCAGACTAGATCTAGGGTCTATGTCAATGAGCATGGATTTTTACATTTTTAAATTCTAATGTTACATGTAATCTACATGTGTACATCTAGATTTAGTTCAATATTAATTGTTTGTTTTTTTACACATTTTTTGCACACTTAAATTTAGAGTCTAAGTTTCATGAAACCAACTCCATGACCATGGCATGCAATGCAAGTTAGTCACACTCTCTATCTCTCACTGACTGTCACTGTCTCAGTCTCACTCAGTCTCAATTCAATCTCAATTTCAGCTCAAGTTTTTTTTCTACCGTCTCACCTGAGCAATTGCAGTGTGTTCATATTCAGGGACAGGTTCTCGAGATCGTAGTTCTTCGGCAGCAGCCTCCCTTGCACTAATTTGCTCCCAAGCTACATCAAAAATTCGATTTACAATCTTGTCTACCAATCTGTAAGGCTGCGGTAACTTGTCGAACATTTGGTCCGGATCGTTGGCGTAGTCATCTTCATCGCTGGACAGATTGCTCAGTGTGTCCGGCGTAATGGACATCAAGTTTTTCCGAACGTAAACCGGCATTTTAGACTGATTTTTGGTTACTCAGCTAAATTTTTAAGTAGCCTTGTCACTCATAAAGATGACACAGTTTCCTTCCTACGGTGAAACTCAACAGAAACGAAGATTTAGCTAGAAACTTGAAGCAAAAATCTCACTCCGCAGCAAATTGTTTGAGCTCACCTAGGCAACATTGTACCTCTGATGGCCGTAGAGGACAGTCTGTAAGTTTTTTGTTCGTTTCTTCTATCTGTCGTGATTATACTGGATGAAATACTCCTCTACAAGTACAAAATGTATTTAACTTTGAAAAGCAATTCGGATTTATTTTTCAAGAAACTCAAGAAATTCAAAAAACTTGACTTCGCTTATTTTCATCTCATATTAAAGTAATTGTTAGTACTTAAATACTTATCATATGTCAATTAAAAACATGGAACAGCATTTCATAATTTGTCTGGGGGGATCGAAGCACCCCTCTCCACAAAAAAATCTGCTAAGAAAGCAAGATTCTGAAAAGGTACTCCTCAGTTACTTATCATTTACAATCTAATGTTGGCTTTTCATCTTACAATAGAAACTGAGTTCTTTCCATTTTTGGTTTGCTTGTGCAACTCCTATATTTTCTTGATATAAATAAATATATATTCAAATATATGTACATAATTATATTCCCTCTCATATACATTATAGCTTTCTCTCTCTCCGCCACCCATTTCTTGCTCTCTCTCTCTCTCTCTCTCTCTCTCTCTTTCTCTCTCTCTCTTTCTTTCTCTCTCCCACTCTCTCTCTCTCTCTCTCTCTCTCTCTCTCTCTCTCTCTCTCTCTCTCTCTCTCTCTCTCTCTCTCTCCCATACATGTCTTTAGTATATATTTGTTATAATAGATGGTTAAAGACTTTCTCCACACATGCATCAACATCATCACAGGAAGCAGAACATAAGTACAACATGCCTTCATTTAAATATACATTGCAACAATATAACTTTATTTCATCACTTAACTTAAGGCAAACAATGATAGGCCAAAAAAGAAAGTAAGGGGTAAAGAGAGGGGAGGTCACATCAGAGATGAAAGAATTCATCAAGATTCAATTTAGTGATGAGTTTTTGCACCTTGATAAGATGACCTAGAAAATGACCATTCAACAGACTTTTCTTCAAAGGCTGAAAGTGAAAAAGAAAATTTAGAATTGTATCAAACAAAAAGATTACTAGTATTGATTTTCTAAAAGAGAAAATAACAATTTTTGCCCCAATAAACCTATCTAGAAATAATATTTTCAGATGCTGCTGAACTCTGCTGGTTTCACTGGCGTATATATTCCTCCAACATAGAACTCTTAGGAAGGGTATCAGAGTATTGATTATTTTTCAATATTTAGCTATAACTTAAAGCATGCATTTGGAGAAATACATCTAAAATAGCAGCCAGCAGTTTCACCTTTTTTATATTGACGTTTGGTTTTTATCTTTTGATCTAGAAATATTTAAATTTCATTGTAAAAGAGCAAAAAGTGCAATAACAAAAATCGCTGGAAAACTTGAGTACATTTCTGTTGCAATACACTCGGCCAATCATGCATAAGAACAATTTCACTGAAACTGACTCAAGTCTTTAAATTGGCAACACAGAGGGTAACTTATAATCACTATGTTCAGGTATAAATTGGCAATTTCCTGTTGATTTTCCAGAATTGTAAGATTTTGAATGTTGCATGTTACTTTTGTATATATATTGTTATGGTTTTATGATTGAAATAAATGAACTGAACTGAACTGAACTGATTGTATTGTACTTTTTAATCACATTGCTTCATGTAATATATAGATATATTTTTGTTAACTATGAAAAAGTGGAAATTCAAACAATTGTCAATTTAAGGCGGAAAAGCTGATTCATTAGATAGACCTAGAGAAAACTGTGAACTGCTTATGGGTCAATCCAAATAAATCTATATTTCATTTACCATCATTTTGACTTTGAGTTGAATGGGAAAATATTTCATCACAAAAGTTTTAAATAATAGCCAATTAATAATCTTGTAATCATTTTCCCACTAAATTTGGAAATGTCCTCTTCAACTTTTGATGCATCAAAGCTATAAAAGAACATTTCCTTTGCAGCTATGTGCACTTTTTTATTGCGTATAAGCATAAAGTCTATAAAAACACCATAGGATTGAACAAAAATTAAGTAGCATGAAAAATACAGATTATTCAAATAAAAAAACTCATGAGCTCAGTAAAAAATAAAATACAAGGGAATTCTTGTTTGGAAATCTCATGTTTTCTATAAAAATTCTAAAAAGCACTCTTGTGAACACAAAGGCCCGAATTTACAAAGAAGGTTTAGATTTAATCCATGGTTAAAACCCTCATTTACATTACCCATGGTTTAAAATAAGCGCAAAATAAGCGTGACACAAGTCAGAGGTCCAATATTAGACACGCACAAGGCAAGGTACGCATATTTTGCGCTAATTTTTAAACCATGGGTTATGTAAATGAGGGTTTAAACCATGGGTTAAATTTAAACCTCCTTTGTGAATTTGGGCCTAAAGGGTTTTCGCTGGCCTACATTTATAAGCCCAAGAGAATTCAGAGACAATAAATACAGATTACATATAATCGCCACAGATACTAAGATAGAGACACGTGTCCCTACATGCACTTCTTAAAGGGGAAATCCACTCTGATTTTAATAAAAGCAGAAAAATGAGAGAAATTAATTAAAGAAAATTTGAGAAAAAACATATTAACAACTAGATGGAATTCGACTGCGCGCAGTCGAAAATGATGCCTCCGTCATAGAGCAATTTTACAAACCAAAACAGAAGAAATTTTTCAAATTCAAGTTCAATTGTAATCCATTAACAGGTTCTCAGAATATCGTGATTACAAACAATTTCTCATATACATATATGACCCTTTGAACTTTGACCTCATGATCCTAATATCTACTCAGCTCATTGGCTCTGCAAGATATCCAGAGTTAAATAGTAATCCATCTGTCAGTTCTAATGAGAATGCGTTCACAAGCTATTTTTGCATACATAATGAGCCCATGACCTTGGACCTTATGAACCAAGAATCTACACAGTTCATTGGCTCTGCAAGATACATAAATGATCTAAGTTTGGCAGGAATCCATCAATCTGTTCTAATGATAACGCGATCACAAGCTGTTTTTGCATACATAATGGGCGCTGTGACCTTTGACCTTTGACCTCGTTACCCAAAATCTAATAAGTTCATCGGCTCTGCAAGTAACATACATGACCTAAGTTTGGCAGGAATCCATCAATCGGTTCTTGAGATAACGCGATCACAAGCTGTTTTTGCATACATAATGAGCCCTGTGACCTTTGACCTTTGACCTCGTGACCCCAAAATCTAATCAGTTCATTGGCTCTGCAAGATACATACATGACCAAAGTTTGGCAGGAATCCATCTATCGGTTCTTCAGATAACGCGATCACGAGCCGTTTTGCATACATAATGAGCCCTGTGACCTTTGACCTTTGACCTCGTGACCCCAAAATCTAATCAGTTCATCGACTCTACAAGATACATACATGACCAAAGTTTGGCAGGAATCCATCCATCGGTTCTTCAGATAACGCGATCACGAGCTGTTTTTGCATACATAATGAGCCCTGTGACCTTTGACCTCGTGACCCCAAAATCTAATCAGTTCATCGACTTTGCTAGATACATATATGACCAAAGTTTGGTAGGAATCCATTGATCCGTTCTTCAGATAACGTGATCACGAGAACGGGACGTACGTACAGACGTACGTACAGACGTACGGACGGACGGACGGACGGACGGACGGACGGACAACCCGAAAACATAATGCCTCCGGCTACTTCGTAACGGAGGCATAATAACAAAGTTATGAATTTTTGAAGGCGCGATCAGTCAAACACAAAATGGCATTTCAGGGCAGTCTCCTGCAAGGTACCCTCCCATTCGCTCTGTATTTAAACAAATTAAGGTCTCCCTAAGAAATTTTTCAATCATATAATCACCATAAATACAATTGTTGCAAATATATATTTATTTAAGATTTATTCCATCACCAATAACTAAGAAAGAGAAGGTTTATGAAAGTGTTGGTACAGAGCAAATTGGAGAGGAGCTCACAAGATACGTCATACTGTTGAAAATTCATATCTCACTGATGACAAGTTCAAAATTTTCCAATTTTTTTATCATAATTGGGTATTGCTCAAACTTTTATTAAGTTGTTTCTCTCATTTAGTGCTGTTAATAAAACCTAATATCAAGGTGGACTTCCCCTTTAATACCTAGCTATAAGAACCAAAATAATCAGTGGCATAGGCACACATAAGTATCATTTTTATTCAGGGGGGAGCCCACGTGTGAATAAATAATGAATTAATTTCTGTGCTATTGAAAGGGATAATAGTGAATATAAACAACTTGAAAAAAGAAAAAAAGAGAAAAAGAAAACCTGATAAAAGTCCTCAACGCAATATTATTATTGGTACATGTTTTTCCCGGACAGACATCGTGCTATAACAATTTGTCCTCCTGATGAAGTTTAAAATCACAATGAAAACCAACCCAAATATCTATTCATTACAGACTTGTGGACATGTTTTGGTAGATTTTGTGACTTACTTATTGATAGAAAATGATCATGATTTCTTTCAGATTTTCTTTCAGATTTGTACAGTATGAAATATTCATGATTTAGAAATAACAGTTATAAACTGAAAAGCTTTTGACACATTTTGTTCGATAGGAAGATGCAACTTTACAAGTTTACAGCACAGGTATAATCTAAGGATGTCCAAAATATAATTGGAACTTACTTGGTGTTATTTAAGCTGTTACATTTTAAAATATATACTAAAGAAATCACAAGGTTTTACTATTTTAAGAAAACGTCTTATTGTATCCTACATCAGACATTAAAGAGCATCTCTTTAATGAAAAATTCACAGCATGTTATAAATAACGCATCCTCTTTACATAATTCTTGCTGGCCACTTGGGACTTGCTGAAATACAAATCTTCCTTGACTTAACTGAACCAAAATATACATACATGGACATATTTCACTGCCCTATTGGACACATGCATTTTGAGCACTGCTTTGTACCTTGGTAAAACTTTAATGCACTTGAGAAATTTCCTAATGTGTTAGCTCATACAATGCCCTACTTGCAACCATTGTTTATGTAGTATTGGAATAAACACCAGGGACTCGTTTCACAAAGCCTTTCTTCAATGAAAAATCTGCTGATAACAACCAGAATCAAGGATTTCACTAGCTTTTATATAACAAAAACTGGTCATTCCTAACTGGCAAGTTTTGTGAAATGGGCCCCTGATAGACTTGAAGAGATCTTGTCCACGCACTCAGTAGTATGGTCTTCTTGGATTGTTCTGTGAAATAAAATAAACAAAAAAAAAAAAAAAAATCAAGACAATGTGTATAAGTTAAGAGGAAGTTTGCAAAGCCAAGTCGTGATGGTGGTAAATATCATGGAAACATTATTATCTGGAAACATGCTTCGGTTTTGATTCTTGTTGACATATGTCTTTAAAGCCATTTTGGGGAGAACATGTAATACATCGTTTGAGTTTCACTTCCCAGATTTTCATGAAAACAAAATGAAAGATTTTTTCCTGATTTTCACCTGATAGAGTTTCTAAATTCCAGGATCTTTCAGGAGAGAACAAAGAGGCATTTTTTGGACACAAGTCAAAATATAAGATATTGAATACCTTCCTTTTTTTGGGAGGGGGGGGGGGCAATGAAATTCATCTTGTCCCTAATTTTGAGAGATTTTTCTTAAACTACCCTTTTTCTTCCTGACTTACAATAATAGCCCACATTTCCCCAAGACAGCTGGTAATCATACATCTCTTTCATACATTTGTTTTCTTACCAGAGGATTTGGTCTGAAGCGGTATGCAAGCATCATTCTTTTCCTGAAGGCAGTGTATTCATCGCTAGCATCATCTCTGCTGAGTTTCTCTGGCCGTTCCACGCCGAAGCCCACTCCATCGACCACTCGATCTCCCCTGATACATCAAACATTGGATGAGAAAATAAGGCATCGATTTTCATTGTTTCCTTTTTTTTCTTTCAAGAAAAGCAACATCACGGTAGAGTGTAATAAATTTAATTCCAAGATTTACAAGATGTAAATAATCACCACTTTGAGCTTCTATTCAGCACAAGACAATCACAAATCATTTGTCAATTAGTGGGTGTAGTTTATATTTCTGTAAAACCCTGCTACAGAGGCAATTGTCCAGGGCCCGTATTCAATTCAATACTTAAGTACAAAATTTAAGCTTTTTACTTAGTATTTGGCTTTGATGAAATGCTTAGCTAATTTTGGTATTCAATTCAAACTTTTGGCTAAGTGTTCTACCCTAAATTTAAGACAGCTCCCTACCAGACTTAAGCCAATTATTTGGAGGCCTGATTGGCAGGCATATGGTTTTCTTATGCGGTATCATAACCTGCGCAGAATTATATTAGCAAGCATTTATTGTGACGCGTTAATTGCGCATTACTTTTGATTGACCGTGTGATGCCACAATGCTTATCACAAGGTATTTTACTTAGATTTCGTCTCAGGTAAAAGTCTAAAATACAATTTGAATACAAGATAAGTAAATTTCTTAGCTTCGTCATTTACTTAGTCTAAGTATTGAAGATCATCTCAACTGAATCACAACATTTACTATAATAAAATGAAATAACGGAGGAGACAGAAAAAATATGGTTGTGCAAAAGCTTGAGTGATTTTAGTATAAATATCAATTTCAAAGCAAATCCTAATGACATGGTTGATAAAAAGGAGATACCTACCTCCTTACAGGAGCTGTAATACCCTGCTTCTCAGGCCCTAACCCTTCTCCTTCACTCCAGCCAAGCTTCTGTAACATCTGAAATCCTATGAATGGGATGAGAATTGAGGCAAAGAATTACATACAGATGATTTCTTAACATATTGGATAATACAGAGCTTGGAACTTTCATGTGTGAGGGACACATGGGCACTCATGTTTTATGTCCAATCCCCCCCCCCCCCTACCTCCATTACAAAAAATGATACTAATTCTTTTTTAAATCAAAATTCTTACATATGCCTCATGCATCAGATAATTATCATAACATATTCAGCATATGTATGTTAGTTGACCATGCAGTAAAGACTTGAAACTTTAAAGAGAGGAGGAGCGGTAACGCAGTGGTCTCGTCTCAAGGAGGTCCCGAGTTCAAAACCAAGTCAATGTGCTTGTGTCCTTTGGTAAGGCACTTATCCTCACTACAAAGTCTCTCCGAGAGGACTTGAAGCCGTCAGTCCCCTAGTTGCTTTCTTACAAGCATAAACATGCTTTCTTAGCAGTCAGCTAAAATGATCATCAAACTGGTTAAAGCCCAGATGACCTCTAATAATAAGAAGGTAATATTATTAACTTTTAAAATACAAGTATTTTTCCAAGGATTGCGTGACCCTGCAAATGCAACTCACCAATATTGTCTGCTTGTATCTTGAACTCTTTGTACTCGGAGTAGTCCGGCGTTCGGCCTTCTTGGAGGGCATGTAGGGTTTCCATGAACTTCTCCAGTTCTTCGGGAGGCAGGAAGTCACCGATGAAATGTTTCCCTCGATTCATACCTGTCAATAACTCTGCCTTCTCTGTAAAACACCAATTAAACATAGTTTGACAAGTATGAACAAAGACAGATCATAGCCTAATGGCAAGTTTCACAGATATTGTGGGTCATTTATATCTGACAATAACATTGCCTTCTCTGCGAGGGTCAGTTAAAGCTTAGTTTGAGAAATGTGAATGGAGAAAGATGACAAGAGTCTTGGATTAATTCACATTTGATGTAAGTCAATTTGCACCAATTAATAAGCAAAACATCTATCAAATTTTATTTGAAAAAGAAAAAGGGAGACGGATAAGTGTAACATAGTTCAGTTTCAGGGCAAGTGCTGGCGCTGCCCAATTATAACCCTGGCTTTAGCAAGGAGACCATTACAACGCTCTAGCATTTCAAGGAATTAATTCCTGCCAGGAACCCATTTCCTTCACCTGGGTTGAATGTGGCAAATATAGATCAATGTCTTCCCAAAGAACATTAGTGCCGCGGCGGGACACAAACCATGAACCTTGTGACCACATATGGTGACATATCCACTCAACCACCTGCTTAAACTTACTGCGGGTGTCCTCCATCTCTTTGGCCCTGGCCTTGTGCTCCCAGGTTCCTCCATCAATGTCCTCATCACTGTCGTACTCGTATTTCCTGTTGGGATCCTTGCCTTTCTTCTCCATCATCAGCTCCGCCTCCCGCTTCTGGGTTTTGATTACCATCTCATACAACATTTGCATCTAGAAATTCAGATATAACAATAATAATGATAACAATAATAATAACTTTTATAATGTAATGATTCCTGGGCAAAATTTCAATTGTTTAAACATATTTGTGGCTTACACCCAGTCAATGACATTGATTGATCGATCTGTAATTGAATTTTGTTGGTAATTTTTCAATTACAGATCGATCAATCGATCTATTTACTGGGTGCAAGCCACAAATATGTTTAAACAATAATAATATCCTAATGCCAATCATATTAAACAGTTTTATAGCACTAGTATCAACTATGGAATGGGCATATGACACTCCAAAGTAAACCTGGCTCTAGATGGTGGTCACATCATTCAAGGACTACCTGCATCATCGGTATTTATTTCACACATTAATGCCGAGTGACAAATGCAAATCGATGTCTTGCCATGGCAGTAATATAGATAATTGAACAAGTATCTTTTGTATGCATTAATTCAAATTAGATTTTAAAGGTCTGTCTGTTTCTCTCTATATGTGTGTCTGTCTCTGTCTCTCTCTCTGTCTCTCTGTCTCTCCCTCCTCCCTCCCTCCTTTCCTCCGTCCGTCCGTCCTTCCCTCTGTCCGTCCGTCCCTCCCTCCCTCCCTCCCTCTCATACACATGTACCTCTTGCTGTTCCATGAGCTGTCTCTGTTGATCGTCGCTCAGCTCCGTCGTCCCGATCATCCCCACGGGGTTGACCGGCTTCAGCAGGGCCATCTGCTTCACGGGCGGTGCCTCTTCCGCTGCTGCTGTCTCGCCCCATCGACTCCTCTTCTTCTTCACCGGTGGAGCCTCAGCCCCCGAGGAGAAGGAGGGGGGCACGTACCCAAGCTGCTGGGAGATGGATGCTGCTGCCGCTGCTGCTGCGGCCGCTGCAGCTGACATGGGGGCCGCCGGCGGTGCTGAAGGTGCTATGAGAGATAAGACAAATTATTATTTGTATGACAGGTATTTTAAAGATATCCGGTAACTTTGTCTCAGATTCTGAAACAAAATCCTGGATTTAGATCATGCTGCAATGATAATTATAAACCTTTAGGTCAGTCAGGAACCCCATGACTTTTACAAGCCAATCGCCTGTCTGATTATCAAGATATTTATGATTGGAATTACAAATTTTGTCATAACACTACAGTCTATTGGGGAAAACAAGTATGGTAAAACCGGTCACTCAAGGATTTTTATTTTTTTGAGGCACTTCTTGATCATTTTGAAGCGCAATTTTTTAGGGCTTCAATATTACACCATATCACGGACACTGATAACATGTAGGGCCGTGCATCTCAGATTTAACATTGTTAAACGATGCCTTTAAAGCAGATTCTGATCATACATTATATTGGGACAATTTAATGCAGCTATGGTGGTCACGGATACAGGGGTCATATGTACAAATTTACAGAACCGACGAAACATTAAGAACAGGCTTGTCAAGCTCTCAATTTAACTCTGTATCTAATGATCGTCGCAACATCTCCAAACCCAAAACTTTATTAAGAAATGTCTATCATAACTCACACAGGGGGTGAATTTTGTCTTGAAAATCACTTTAAATCAAGTGAATAACAAAACGTGGTTCCTCTTTCTTAAATATAAAAGATGAGAGTAGAACTGTCAGTGTACGAAGTTGATTTCCAGAAAACAGAAAGTGTACAAAAGCCTGTGCACACAGGTTCGTTGACGAAGCTGTTCATGATGATCATGGCCCAACTGGAGTTGGTGATAATAGTCAAAATTGACTGATTGCCATAAAACACTAATGAACAACAACATTTACCTGGTGGCGCATATGAAATTGAAGCCTTTGCTGCAAGACGAAAGACTGCTAGTTTGGTCTTGTAGTATCCATGGGCTGGGCTGCTCTTATCGTGCATGAACCTGTATTCAGAGTAGAGCAAATTTGTAAATTATAATGAATCTGACTCTGAATTGCTATTAATGAAGCAAGGTGTTCCTCAAGGTAGTATCTTGGGCCCGTTATTATTTTTGCTCTTCATAAATGACATTGTTGAGTCTTCAAGGAAATTACATTATGTACTGTATGCCGATGACACAAACATCTTCTATTCTTGTAAAAATTTGAAAGACTTAATTTTCGAAGCCAATGTTGAACTTCAAAAGGTTGCTAGCTGGTTTTCATCAAATAAACTAAAAATTAATCAGACCAAAACAAAGTTCATGATATTTAACTTTGGTAAAAAAAATGATACTTTAATTGAAAATGTTAATCTGACAATAGATGGTAACTGTATTGACCAGGTACAATTTGCCAATTTTTTAGGAGTTGCCATTGGCAACAAACTTACATGGGCAAAACACATTGAATTAATTTCCAGGAAGATTCGGTCCCAAGTCGGTGTAATGAATAAGCTCAAAAGTTTTCTACCATCCTCTACCATGCTTTCTCTTTACTACACTCTCATATATCCTTACTTAACGTACTGTAATTTAGTTTTGGCGAGAACGTCTAATAATTTATTAAAGCCCCTTATCATACTTCAAAAGCGGGCTGTTCGGTTGTGCTGCAATGCTTCCTTCAGGGCGCACACCTCTTCATTATTTAAATCCTTAAATTTACTTAAACTTCCAGATATTCTTTCTCAACGGACTTTATTATTTATGTACAAACTCCAAAATAATTTGCTACCAGTAACGTTTTATGACAGTTTTCATTTGAACTCGGATGTCCACTCCTTTAATACAAGAAAAAAAAATGACTTCCATCTACCAAAATTCACTAACTCATTTTTGCAAAATAAATCAATTAGATATCAAGGTCCTCACAAATGGAACTCCATGTCAAGTTATTTAAAGGGTATTAAGAACCAGAACACATTTAAACTTAAACTGAAAAGAACAATACTTGCCACTTATTGATTTATTGAAATACATAATTGATTCATATATTTTGTTAGCATGTAACATTATTATTATTGTATTGTATTGTATTGTATTGTATTGTATCGTATTTCATCTTATTGTATTGTATAGTATCTGTATGTTTTTATGTTTGGGGTTGCTTGTTTACAAGTTTTTAACTTATTTTAGCAATCCCGGTATTTATAATGATTTCATTTGTAATGATTTCATTTTGATGTTTTTATCTTTTGCCGAATGAATGTGAATTTGAATTTGAATTTGAATTTGAAGGTCAAAGTTCAAAGGTCAAGTGACCCTCTACAATTAATGATGTATTATTTTTAACACTATTAAAGTAAGACATACCACCAGGAGCCCTTATAATACGAATAAAAATATTAAGAATGATGTCTTCTATGAAAACCAGTATCAGCCAGCTGGGGCTCATAGCGCTTGCTCCAAAATATAAAACATAGTAGGAGCACTGCTTGTTGTATATACAGTTGAAACAATAACAGACAACTAAGAAGAAATTTGCAGTGTTAGCCTTTTGACATGCATATCAGCTAGTTTTACAAACTGAAGAGATGTGTTATGAGCACTTTTTTTAAAAGGATTCAAAGGAAAGATCTGCTTGGACAAAGAATGGAAGGCCTTTCTTCATACTTGCAATTTAACGCTCAAGTAAAGATTATTGGATATGCCACAGGTTTGTAATGGCTGTCAAACGAACAGTAATGTACAATTTAAACACTTGGGAGCAACTTATAAAGTACCAAGTAGATACTAACCCCTAGTTGATGAAATAGTAAACTAAGGAAAGGTTTGGTTGATAAAAGCACAATATTGCCTCAAGAATTAAAGGTGCATGCATCTTATAATTGGTCATTGCATGGAATCCCTGGTATGAAATTAAAAGTAAATAATTCCTCATAGTATACAGTATATATTTTGTCTGCTACTAGCCAGAAGGCCATTCATATAGCCACAATTCTTCTGGCTAACAGCAGACGATATACTGTACATATACAGGGGGGTGTTTCACAAAGACTTAGATCGACTTAAAGTTAGACTAGCAGGCCATTGTGCCACTGGCACTGGTTGCTCTCACTGTTATGATCTTCCAATTATATTTTTACCTTCAATAATGGATCATCAAAAATGTAAATGCTGTAGATCTATGACAATGTGAACCCTTGAGAAACCAATGCCAGTAAATGGTGAGAGCAAACAGTGGCATGGACGGCCTGCCATAGTTAAATCTAACTTAAAGTTGATCTTAATCATTGTGAAACAATCCCCAGATGTGCAACCTGAGAGTGTGAGAACTGAACTAACCTGTACTTTGGTATGTCCCGGTAGGTGCTAAGAAGTACCGCCTCCACCGCGTCCCCACCCTCGGCCACCTGCCTGGCGATGCGGTCAACCAGGTCCTTCAGATCCACGTCCTCTGGCGGAGAGACTTAATATGCTTCTATGAGTATCTGTTGCACTCTGAGCTGGGAGGGGGGCACTATCGACCCCCTCCTCCCATAAATCGGGGGCTCTCTCTCACACCACTCTTTTACCTTACTTGTAATGACAAGGGCTTTGGAAGCGAGAGAATGGTTCAGAAGAGAAGACAGATTGCCGGGCAAATTATAAGGCTCTTTTTGTTTTTTTCTATCATGGGCTATGCAAATTGGAGAGGGGAAGGGGTAGGTGGGGAGTGGAGGAACATTGTTTTGTACACTTCAGATAATTAGGATATGACTAAGAAATTTTTGTCTACAAATCATTAAGGATTTCTTAAATGACTTCTGTCATGCAAACTTGATATACTCTTATAAGTACTTTGATAAGAAATCTCATAACATCATGGTCTAGATCAATGAGGATTATATAGATAATGGTTTTGTTTAGACACAGCATTAATCTATCCAAAATGAAAAAAGGCCGTAATTTGGGAAATTAAAGAGTGATATTTATAAACAATTTTACCACTCAAATCTACTAAATAGAAGGGGGGAAATGATGAATAGGGCAGGTTTTGTTTAGACTACCAAAAAGGGGCTTTCAAAACAGGCCTAGTAGACACATGGGAATCCAATTCAGACAGTTGCCAACTTTTCCATGAGGTAAAACTGTATATGAGATGACCTTTGTACGATAACATCCTCAAAAGTGAAATCATCTCACACATGAAGACTAGATTGCAATTGATATTCTAATAATGAACTTCAAGAAATATATAAAATTTTGTCCAAGTGTGTATTTGCCATACACACAATAAGGTCAAGTGAACTCACGACGACGTAACTCCATTTTGGCCATTTTGATAAAAAAAAGTGGTTTAAAGATAGAGGTTCACTTGGTCCTTAAGGAGTTAAGTGGTGGTGGTAGTGGTTATTTTACCTGACTGCTAAGAAAGCATAAATGCTTGTAAGTAAGCAACCAGGGGACCAAGGCACCTGGCAATGAGGATTAAGTCTTTGTTTCACTAGTCATTGACTTCAACAGGGTGTTGGGTGGAGATAAGTCTTTGTGTTTCCTGGAAAGCCCACCTTTTCCTGAACCTTTTGATATCAAATACTCATTTGAGCAAACTATGGAGTTACGTTTTTGTGTCACTGAAGAACCCTCGCAATCATCACTGAGGACAAGCAACTTACCAAGTCCGGCATTGCTCGATGAATCCACCCCCTTTCCTGCTGAGCCATGTCCTTCGTCTTCCTCTTCAGAGTCGCTAGAGTTTCCAAAGACGTTTGCTATCTGTCTCTCCCTTTGCTCCCTGATCTTGGCCCGGACAGCAGAGGTGCTTGGTCTGTTTAGGGGTACGGGGCTGGTTGGTGATCTGGCTTTGCTGGGGGGAAAGGGCACTGCTGGAAGAGGAGAGGGTGTCAGGGTGAGAGCCAGATCAGAAACAAAACAAGGGGAGAAAGGGAAAGAGACAGAGGCAGTGAGAGAGAAGGGGGTGGGGGGGGGGGGAAGAGAGATAGCGAGAGATAGAGAGTGAGAGAGCGAGAGATGAATACCAGTCTGGTTGAATTAATACATAATTACTACTTAAGTTAACTAGGACTTAAACTTTTGAATTTTTTCAAATAGAAGAGTATTATACTGATGGTCAGATTCCATTATTTGTCTCCTTTAAAACCTTCAGCCTTTTTTGACACACGAGTAAAATTCTTTAAAGCTGATTTGTTTAAAGGGCTTTAAACTAATCAGCTTTACATACAGCATCATTCACACACAGAAATTTTGGTGCAATCGTTAATCGTTTTGTGATTAACTACTGCTCATAAAATGCGCCGTAGTGCCATTGCGCATAGAAGGTCAGGTCATATCAAACAAAGCGCACGTTCCATCCAGTTTAAACACGTATAACCGTTCACACACAAAATGTCAAGCTCTCTAGATAAAAACTTCGTATCTGCAGCCTGCTTTGAGGGGCGTATGAATTGCGACTTTGTATCTATCCGAACATCGTATAAACGATGTTCACACAGGGAAAATTTTCTTTAAAGCTGTTCAAAACTGTTGAGTTAAACAGCTTTAAACTAATCAGCTCTAGATACGATGAATTTTAGCTGTGTGTGAAAAGGCTGCATGTTCATGAGAGTTCATAAACTATTTGATAGTTTCCAGATATTTCACTCCTGTATTTCCATAAATCATACACATCTATATTACAAACATTAACAAAGATTTCATTGCAAAATAAATGTATGAATTACATTAAAAAAGAAAATCATAATAACATTTCCTTGACATCTTTCCTAGTCAGACACTTTCAGGCATTTACGTCCGAAGCTTTGAATAAAACATTTCTGAACAGATTCTTACCTACTTCAGGGGGAGGTGGCAAGGGTATTTTCTCTATTTCTGCTGCCTTCTCTTCTGCAAAGTGTCTCATCTGCATTCCAAGAGATGGGGAGAAGCCTTGCTGGGCCTCCTGCAGCAGCATGGCATGGGTGAAGTCTCGGGGTGGCGGTGGGGGCTGCTGGGCAAGCGCTGCCGATGATTCGGCGGCCTTCTTCCTCTGTTGCTCTTGCTGCATCTTCATGAAGTGAGCCATGAAGCTGCCGTCGTTTGAGAATGTATTCTGAACAGGGCTGGGTGCGGCCGGTGGGGGTTTGGCCTGAGCGGCACTGGACGTGGATGCGACTGGGGTCTTCCGCGATTGGTTGCTGATAAGGAACAGGCAGTTGAAAGGAACATTGCATTATAAACTTATGCAATGTATAAAGGGTATGTGATTAAATACTGTACTGTGACATACGATTTGGCATCACTTAAATCTTAAATCAGATGCAGGCTAGATAATTATCTTCTAGATGCAGGATGCCTTTAATGTCTCTTTCCCTGTCTGTAAACTCATCAATTATATATGGAAAACCTGGCAGTATCAATTTTTAAAGTAATTTTTTTTTCTGAAGCAGTAATAGAGGAATTCAAGCAAATGTACATTTATGAAATAATCCCTTGTAATGATGAAAAACATACTCTAACAAAAATATTCATGTTCACAGACAAGTTACGGTACACAGAATATTGACCATACTACAGGTAAAGCTAAACAAGCTACATTGTAAAAAGGCTGATACATTTTAACAAAACGTCTCATATATACAGGATATTAAAACGTCAAATGTGCTTTGCAGGAAAAGTGATTTCCAGCTAGTTGATATTTTCTTTTACTGGTCTAAACAACTTATTTCAGCCTCATGAAAAATGACAAATGAGTGGCTGCCCTCCACACCTGAAACTGAAGGACAAGCATCAATACTTACAATCTAGCCAACGCTGAAGTAGCGCCACCAGGAGAAGTCTTGGGTTTAGCTCCAGCAGCAGCAGCTTGTGCGGCAGCCGCTGCTGCTGCCTCTTTCTTCTTCTGAGCCATCTTCCTCTCGATCTCCTGTCTCTTCTGGAGCAGCATACGTTCCTGATCGCTCAAGCTCTTCATCTTATCCTGAAAGCTGGGTTTGATGGGGCCCTTGTCCGCCCCATGCTTGAAAGAGAAGGCCATGGTCAGAATCTAGGCCTGGCTGCAAAATCAGATCTATCCCTTGGCCCTGTAGAGTTAAATATATGATGTATATAATATAATGTATTTGATTTTGATTTACAGGCATGTAAGTATCAAGTTTAGGGTTTACCAAGGTGTAGTGGGCAATATCTCTAGGAAAAACATTGGGGTAAGTATGGAGTTAATTTCCCGAAAGGACAGAAATCGTCATTTACTACAATCCCGAACATCCCGACACTGTCGCTCAAATTGTCCGCCAAGTGTTTCACAAAACCGTCTTTGCCAAGATGAACGACAACTTCCGCGACTTGTAAATTTGATTCCAAACCTGTCATATCTTTTTAGAACGGGTAACTTTAAGTTTGTCTATGGGCAGTGAAAAAAAATGAAAATTGACAATATTTTTGTAAACTTATTTCTTATTCTTCAAGCTCTCATTTCACTAATCAGTTTATATTTGTAAGGCCGGGATCCGGTAACTTTGTCTTACTCTTAGATCCTTTGAAAAAATCCTTGCTTTAGCTTATGCTGCAATGATAATTATAAACCTTTAGGTCAGTCAGGAACCCCATAACCTTTACAAGCCTGTCTGATTGCCAAGATATTTATGAATGAAAATCGAATTCCCCTGGCTGCTCACCAGAGACTCTACTCTAGATCTAGAGGGTTTGACTGAAATATCATAATTTTGGTATTGAATTAAACAGAAAATCGCAAGCTTACTGCTCCTCGCCTAAATTTCTCATAACATTGAGTGATGGAAGCCAGCGTGCAGCAATAAGGGCACTTGACCAATTTAGTAAAATGAGACTGCGATTCGCGAGATTGGATTACATTTTGTACTTGCGCTTAGAAATCTAATAAATGTAAGCTAAAGTTCAACGTGCAGAGAAGCCAGATGCAATCTCAGCGGAACAACCATTGATATCAGAGACTGAAACTTTGTGTGCCCAGCAAGCCATACGTACGTGCATACCCCGCGCCCGCGAGCCGGGCCGCTGTTCGACTCCCAGCAGCCCAGACCGACCCTCCCACGGCCCAGGCCCAGGGGCGCGGCCGAACCGCGACGCAGCCTTAGCGCTGGCCGGTGAAGTGGTTTTCCCACATATTTTGCATACATTTCTCTCCGGTTTTATCAAACTTAAATGCTTCAAATTAGACTAAAAATGTTCTGATTGTCCTACCTTCGAATTGCAAACACTGAACTGCACAAAACCTGAGTATTTTTGCGACTTCCCGTTGTTTCTTTCTGCACATTTTCTGTCGCGGGTGCACGGCTCACGCAATATACGTCGCCTGAAATTTACTGAAGTTGCTGACAATACACAAGAGTGGTACGCGTACACTAAAACTTGCGAGTGTGCCAATTTGACAAGCCGTAACATAGGGAAGATCAGCAGGGATGCAAAGTATATTGAAAGTATAAATATGATGTTTGTTTTAATATAGTCTACTTGGAATCTTTCTGGGCTTAGGCCCTACATATTATTCAAATCATGCATTGTCATAAAAAAAATTGTTCTTATCAAAAATGTTGAAGACAAAATAGTATGATATGGAGGGGGGGGGGGGGGGGGGGGGGGAGTCGGTATAGTCCGGACACTATAACAACACTGACCTCTATACATGTATAACAAACATAACTCCGAGTTTGCCTTAATTCGCTATTGGGGGCGATACACAAAACAAATTTCAGTTGTGACATAATGAAAAACTGAGTTTCAAATTTGAAAGAACATACAATTTAAATGACAAAATCATCTTTGTTTGATCAAAATCGGTTCAGAGACGGCTGAAATTTAATATAGCGGTTTCTAATAGTCATGTACCACCACAAATATTAGATATTTTGAAAAAAGCTGTTGAAAAAACAAAATAGCGCCTTTTACGTTGTATTTCAGCCAATGCCGATGTTGGCTTTTTTGTTGGCATTTTCTTGTTGGTTATATTACGTACAACCAGCCGGCCCATGTATTGTTATTTTTAATTAAATAATTAACGGTCACCGTATTTTTTGGAAAGTGCAGCTACATTGGTATGATCATATTGGCTAAATTTCACACATTTTTGGGGTCTAAAGTTACCTTCATAGCAATTTTAGGTTCTAAAAGGGCACTAGAAATGTCAAAGATAAGAATAAGAGCAATAACCATGCACTTTGAAGGCCGCGGTCTGAAAACAGAACTCAACTGTCCCTTTAAAGTCCCATCATATTAGCTACTTATGCTCTCTAAGTGTCTATAAACGGCCAAATCGGTGACCATTGGTACCCCCATGGTCCCCTTTTTATGCTAATTGATAGCTGTTTTGATGTGAGTAACCCCCCAGGGGCCGGGGGGGGGGGGGTACTCACATATTAAGACATACGGGGGATGTGCCGCTCCAATATGGGTCACTTTTTCACAACAAATCCCTAAACATGGGTCCAATTTAAAACAAAATATGTACATGAGTCCGTTTTTTTTTAAGTTTCAAAAAAATGTCGGGCCTGTTTCCATAGCAAACACCTGTCAGTGACCATGCAATGAGGTTTAATTCATCCTGGCCTAGCCAGTGCAGATATTCATCAATTTTTTTTTTGTCCAACATAAGTCCTAGAATATTTATGAAAAATTACTTGTATCATCTTCAAATTTTTGTTTTAAATCAACTGTCCGAATCAATACACAACTAAACCTGTCTTTGAAGCTTTTGGAGTCTTAAATTCATAGCCCCACCCACCCCCTCTCCTGGCCGCCTCCCCCCCCCCCCCCCCCCCACAAAAAAAAAAGAAAAATCTCGATTTTCCTTGTTACACCCATTACAAGATTTATTAATTTTAGTGTTGTTTCACATTTAACAGTTCAAAAAGAAGAAGAAGAAGAAGTAGAAAGAAAAAAAACAAAATATACTTAAATGACGGTAAACAATTTTATCATAAAACCATAAATCTATTTTCCAACAAGTCTCTAAAACCATAAATCTATTTTCCAACAAGTCACTAAAATATTGGTACTACGGCCATATAGATGTAGCGCGTGCCTGCTGTGTTCCTCTCATGAATAGCTGGTAATTTCAGTTTAGATAGATGCCGCTCGAGACTTGAAAATAAACGGTAAACATCACAACATTTTTCTTATTTTGTGTTTACTTACAATTGCTTATTAATAATTGATAGATTCATATCAAGGCACATTTTTCTATGTGTAGATCTCCGTAATACATTATCCAATGATTGGTGCCATGCAATGGAAATTTACTTGTATTTCAATCGTTCTAATAGTAATATGTCGTCGAGTCCCATATGCAGTAATTCGTGTACCAAACTGGTAGAGTGTCACACCGCTGAGCCGCCCCGTCGTCATGCCAGCGGCCACGGCGGAATCGAATGAGCGAGCTCTAGCTCTCCTACAAAGTATGAAGGGGTGACCAAAGTTCGCAGAGATTTTGATATTAGGGGCTTTCCGTTTGTGTGGACAAGGACGGCGTTTCCGTCCTCTAACGATGCGAATTGTTATTCTTTGTTTTTATCTTTCTATCACTTTCTCTTTCTGTCTTTCCTAATGTTATTCTTTGTCTTTTCCTTCTTTCACGTTCTCTTATTAGGGAGGCCAATGCCCAAATCTAACTTTTTAATTACTAATTTGTTTATACTAAAACTAAGATTAAAAGAAAGCATTTACTTTCACTAAGAAAATCCACCCATCTGCCGACTCCATAGGTTCCATCAAATAGGAGATATCCAGCTGGTTTGTAGCCAATTCCTTCTACGCCTTTCCGTACGTAAGAGCCTTGAAACAATTATATTTCATGTCGCAAAGTTACGTTCATAATTAGACAGGCCCGAGGGACAAAGTTCATGATGAAGTTTAAAACTTCGCGCGAAAGTGCAATCACTCAACAGCGGCTAGCCTTGAATCGGTCGCACACGTACACACCTTCTTCTTCTTAGTTGATCCCTCCACCGACACAGGCAACCCCCGATGCAGGCTGAAGTCCAGCCATCAATGTGCGAACGATTACATCTTCTACTACTACGAGCCGAAGACGATGGTTCAAAAAAGGAAAGAAATATATATAATTCATTGATATTTACCTTTGATGTGTATTCCAATAATTTGATTTCCTCATGAGTATTCCTTATTATCAACGATCGAGAAGTTACGAGGTCCAATTAAAATCCATCTTGCAGCGAACACAATCATAGCGCACATCCATGCATGCAACGTACGTGTACTAATATTTCTCTCACTCTCTCTCTCTCTCTCTCTCCCTTTCGCTATACGTAACATACACACTCACTAACCAACACACACCTTCAAATCATGGCTTTCATTTCAATTCTCAATTGGAGTATAGACTGCTCACGTAGACTTTTTTTTTTACTGAAATATCTTTTTTAACACTTCTCATACATTACTGCACGACACTCGTATCTAGTGCTGTGAGAATAAGGTACTAGGGTCTATAAATAAGACTACGCTTTGCGCACGATTTGACCGGAGCTCAGATTATGTCGCAATACCCTTTATTTTTGGCGCGAACAATGACGTCACTGTTCACTGTTTTCCTTCTCATTTTGAGATGGATGTAGTTATAGGGCTCAAACCAACGCAAGATTGACAGAAACATCGTACTCTATCTACTTTCGAATGTTCAGTTTGTAAAAATCTGTATTTAAAAAGATATAATCTTTTTTCTTTATATTTTCTAGTTGTTAGAAGTGGCAATTGTGAACATCTGAAATGTTGATCTCTATCAAAAGTTCTTTACTCAAAACGGATCCCATATTTTTAGGGTCTACCTTCTGCCAATGAGAAGGTTTTTAGTGAGCAAACCTCTACGCCCTCTAGGATTTTCTTAGTCGGTGGTGCGAGTGCGTCAAGGTCGTCTGCAACCACAATTATTGGATTAAAAAACGTCAAAATCTGCAAGATTGTCAACAAATGGTGAAAGACTGTTACAGATCCGTGATTATAGGTATGTTGTGAAATGTATAATTGTATTTTCTTTTCATATTTTCTTCAATTTTTATTTTTACATCATTTTTTTCCCTTTGCTAATTTTTTGAAGTGGGCGACGAGCGCACAAATCGTAGGTGTAGAAGCCTTACGCCCGGGCATTGGCCTCCCTACTCTTATGGTTATGGCATTCTTTGTGTTTTTTTATCATTCTAGATCTACCACTTTCTCTTTCTGTCTTTCCTTATTTTATCCTCTGTTTCTTCCTTCCATCATCTTCTCTTACATTTTGTTTTTATCATTCTAACACTTTCTCTTTCTGTCTTTCCTAATGTTATTCTTTTTGTCTTCCTTCTAATTCTATAAGTATAACCATATCTTTCTCTCTTTCCTTATGTTATTCTTTGTTTCTTCCTTCTATCACCTTGTCTGTTATTTTTTCTTTTTATCATTCTATCACTTTCTCTTTCTGTTTTTACTCTCTGATTTACGCTGCGATGTAGCAAGATGACATCATTCTGACAACGGGGCACTAGTTTACATTTAGTAGGGTGTCTGATCGCGCACTCGTGATCGTTTTGTCTGCCAAAACCCTTCCCATAGACATTGCACGCACCCCTATGCAGTCTACATGCATTGCAAAATTGGTCAACGTTTTTAAAAATAAATTTAGATTCAAACCTTTATCTGTTGTGATCCTAAAGGTGATACTCAATATATGAGGTGTCATATGAAAGAGCAGATTAATCTCCATATTTCCAAAGGGGTGTAATTTCGGATTTTTAAAAATATCTTGGTCAAAACAGAGATTTAAATGTTGTTCCCATGGTAACTCAGAGATTTCCCACTTTTGAGAATCGATCCCCAGGAATAATTAGTTCAAGTTTTAAGGAATATGTTGATGTGCTTACTTTTTTGCTAGCCCCAAGGGATCACATATGATTTAAGTTTGAAAATACCCTTCCCCCAATTTTTTGCATATCGCCTAATGCATTGTAATGCAGCTGTTGAGCAAAAATTATAACTCGGCATGTACCACTTTTTTGTCCATTCTGGACCAAAATTGGATGAATATTGCTTATATTTCAGGGGACCGTATCTTTTGATAGAGACATCGGTGAGTCTTGAAATTTGTATTGTGTTCTTCTGAGTAGTTGATTTTTTCAATTATCCAACCATAATGGTGAAAAACAATCCGAAAGGGAAAATTTAAAAAATCGTTCAGACACCCTACATTTAGCGCATGCGTAGATCGTTCATCCAATGTCAGCCTCATTTTTGTCGTAAATTGGCGCCTAGCCTAGACCAAAAATTTCTGTTGTTAGCCTCTGATTTGGGTAGGACCCTCGACTCCTCTCTTTCGAAACAGAAACCGACCACAGGGACTGCATTGTTAGGGATCTGAACACCAAACTTGTGCCCAAATACTACATTTTAGAGGATGCATATCCCATGCATTTATGTTTGAAAATTAGGCCTAGGCTAATATACATCGGTTCCACTTATCGATTTGACTGTATAATCCGTTGAAAGGTCCCTTCTTCTTCTTCTCCATCTTTCCAGGAAATAACAGACAGGTATACCGTGTAGCATGCTCAGCCATCACGATGCAAACAATGGAAGGCGTAAGGAGACTTACCATGAGTGACATGAATGGCCGACCTGCAGGTCAGATGGACTTCCGGTACAGGTCGGTCAAGTCCAACCACCAGTCTATACCCATGAGCAAGAGCCTTCCTGTGAACCCTCCCAAGGTCATGACCCCTCAAGACGACATCTGGCGCAGTTCTCAGAGTCTTACCGGTCGAACCTCGGTCATGACGTACAACCACAGGCAGTACCCATCGGCATCGGCGGCGCTGTCCGATTATATTTCAGACTATGAGAGCCAGAGTTCTTCACAGGATTCACAGTCTCAACCCTCCTACAGAGTGAGTGTTTGGAATTGTTTGTAGGCTGAGTGGTTTGACAATAGTGCACATCATGTGGGGATTCTTTGGTCCCAATATGTTTTGTATATTTTGCTAATTGTTTTTGTAAAAATGCTAATTGAAAGACTTTAGGCCTTTAGCTTTATGCAATAATGTTAATGAGAAGTAGGTAAGTGACTAGACCTCTTCAGGCCGTTGTGTACTTTTGTTTTATTTTATTCTTAGCTCTCTCTCTCCCCCTCTTTCTCTCTTCTTAGAAACATTATATTAATTAAGCAAGTTGTGTAAATGTTACGTGGCTTAAACTCTTTGTATTATATCATCAATGAGACGTAAAGTGTAAGAACTCAGGCCTGATAAAAACCTGATTTAAATCGGTTTACCGATTTTTTCCTGATTTTTTTTTTTTCTTCCCGATTTACAAAAAAAAAAAAAAAAAAATCCAGATTTTTTTTTTTTTTTTTTTTACCAATTTTGTTTTCTTCTTCCATATTTTATTCTGATTTTCCCGATTTCCCTCTTATTTTCCTCTTATTTTCTCTATTCTTCCCTATTTTGCCCTATTTTTCCCCAATTTTGTCCCAATTTTCTTACTTGAAAGGGGGGAATGTTGTTAGATGCCATTTTTTCCCCGCGAATCCTCTTTTCTTTTTTCTTTTTTACTTAAGGGGGGCGTGGTTGAAGGGAAAACAAAAACCTTTTTTTTTTTAGTGCTCACTTTCACCCCTGGAACTGCATTATTGAAATTTTAACGCTCTATCACCATCAGCCACAGTCTCATGATGATTACTGTTGAATTTTGTTTGTGATGGAATCTTAATGGTAATGCCTTACAGATTTAACATAAAATGTGTACATAGTAAATTATATTTAGTTTACAAAGATACATATGACTGTCAAAGGTTGCTGTTTACAGTACTCTGTTGAAATAGTATGATTTCTTGTTGAAAGGAACCATCAGAAAATGGAAAGGGAAAAAACAAATCCTCACCCGCCGTGATTTTTGTTTGTATCCCCACATATAGAGAACTGTAAGTGATCTTCTGCTTCCTAAGACATCACTTCAGAAAACTGTGCAGAGAAGCTTGGACACCGGAGATCGAGACACCAAGGATGAATTTCATCGCTATAACGTCCGCAAGCTCATCGATGACTCGTATGAGCAGATTTTAAGGGCAGACTTAGAGCAAGGAAAAGGTACGAAACTGAGATTTCCAAGAAAATTTAACAATTTTTTTTCTTCATTTGAATTAAGAAAAAGAAAGTATAGTAATGAAAACTAGCTCAATGTGAATGTATTTTCATCAAGCTTCCAATTACATAGATTACTGGTAACACTTTTCCATTACAAGTCACAGTGGTTGCATTTTATAATGTTCTGAGGTTAAGTTGATTTGATTTTATGACTGGAAAGTGCAGACATGGATTTTATTTTCTGTGAGTCACTTTCTCCTTGTTGCTACATTAACACTGAATATTTCAGTGTGATTATTCTGTTTGTCATGAGAGTTATTTTTTTCTTCTTCTTGTTTTTCTCCTTTCCCCACCATACTCCTTGGCCTTGGATTCCTAAAAATCTTCAGCATCTGCAATAGTCGCTACTGCAAAACATCTAGGTACAGAAAGCACTTTATCCTTTGAGGATACAGCTCCTCGTGAGAAAGAGTTTTCAGACTCTGTAAGTGAAATCAGCTCCTCGACTGATGCTCTACTGTTGGCCAACCCATACATAGTGAACTTCGGTCACAGGGATAGGAAATTACACCATGGGGGTATGCCATCGTCAAAGAGCATAGATTCTGCACGCCTTCCCATGGCATCCAGCTATGCTAGGCAAATGCACATGAAGAGCAGAGGGAGAATGAATGATTCAAGACAACAGACCCGTCCAACCTCAAGTAAGTTTAACGATGAAGTTGAGTTCTGGTCATGCGATCGCATTGTCAAAGAAAACGTGTGGAATGGATCTGAAAAAGTTGATCATGTAGCATGTAAGTATTGTTGTGTACTGCAAGGTTCTGGAATCATCAAAATGATAAGAAATTTGGCCCAGTCTTGGTAAAGTTACAATGCTGTACACATAAAGATGTATATGGGACTACACAAACATGAATGATTTAATGATTTTCATGATGTAACATGCAATATTTCGAATATGGAGGCATTTGAAGAGCCATGCTTTTCAGGGAACATTTTTTATCTGATGTTCTTCCAAACTTGCATAATAACAATGATAAAGCTCACAAATTATTTTTCACCTCTTCCCAGAACTCAGTCTTCCCTTTAAGGATCAAGGACCTCATGCCTCTTTGGACAGCACCAGCTTCTTGGGGACATCGCATCATGGAGTCGTGTCGCCCAAGCATTCGGTGTATGATAGGAGACAGGAGTTGAGGAAAGCAGTGCCTTCCAGGAGTGATGGAAGACCCATTCCAGCATGGGTCTCTGACCTGGACAACTCGGTGGCTAGCCAGAAAAGTCTGAATACCCTCTACACGGACACATTGCTGGGTGCAGATGGGCATGCCACATCGCACCAGGACTCCATGAGACAAAGTCAGATGAACGGAGCATCCATGTCGTCGGCTAACCACGGTCAAAGGATACGCAGTCTGTCTTCGCAGGGTCAGTCAGAGGAGCGACCTATGTCCGTTATGTCAGGAGCAAGGCCTCCACCCTCTTGGGTTGAGGATTTAGATACGACCGTTGATAGCCTCTCGGGATCCTTAAGATTGCTTGGGAAGAGAATGGAACATCGATCTACAAGAGCTCCTGGAGTAACCTATCAAGATGTCCCCACCAACAGATATGGCAAGACTGGATACTTTGGACAACAAAGCAGAGAGTTGTCCAGGCCAGCGAGCCTACAGTCAGAAATTGGGCAGCCCAGGGCTACATCCAGTCACATTGCATCGGAGTTGAGATACCGCAAAGGTGACAGTATGAACAGACACGTAAGGAAAGGAAGGGCCACCTCTGATTTGGATTTTACCAAGGACAGGATGATGGGGCAGAGACCCCACAGGAGGACGCAAAGTGCTAGTACCGAAGACCTGATCAAAGAGTCACCATATGGGGATGCAGTTAGTGCTCCTTCCTCTCACACCATCAAACATCGTCTCCACTTACTGAGGCAAGGTAAAGGTAGAGCACAAGCCAACCATACAGTCAAGCCTTCCAGATCATCCACACTGAAATCATCCACCCAAACCAACTTGCCTTCAGCTCGGGCAACTCGCCAGGGTCACCTCCCATCGTCATTGCTTCCATTCAGCAAATCAAACCCTGAACATTCCAAGATGAAAGCACACCTAGATGTCAGTGCCACCACAGATAGCCTTATCTACTCATCTCCTTTCGGCCTTGATAGGGACATGCCCTTCCCTGATTTATCGATGCTACCTCCAGCCTATGGCTCGTCAAATCATCTGTCTGCCGTCCGTAACGCTCATAGTGACGGTACGCTGAAGGAAGAAGAACTTGCGTCGTCCCTAAGTTCACTTTCATCAATAGCTTTAGAGACGAATCACATCAGGAATGAAAAGGCAGAAAGAACACCCCTCATAGCAGATCACGTCAGTGAATCTACAGTTGGTGGTGAGTAGTGTCATCTTTTCAACAACCTTTCCTGTGCCACAAAGTAATGAACAGTCATCAAAAGTTAATCTTCAAAAATAAAAATATGATGAAAAACAGTTTGCTTCATTGATAAATTGGATGTAAGATATATATTTTTGGACGGATAATTTGTGATAGAGGTAAATGCTACTGCTTTTGGAAGAAAGACGCAGACCTTCTGTAATATTCCAAACTCAATGTTCCAATACCCAAATGTGGATCAGGATTTGCCAGCCACAGCATTAACAGGGTTAGAAAGTGAGAAAGACTCTTATCTGTAGAAAACAATCCCATAAAATCTTGTTTTTAAATATGTTGTATTGCCTGTGAATCAGAATGTTCATATGTTTTAAAATATTTTAAAATCAACTACATAGTAGAGGTGTTGTGGTCGAGTGGATACGTCGCCGGACTGTCGATCACAAGGTCCGCGGTTCGAGTCCCGCTGCTGCACTAATGTCCGTTGGCAAGACATTGATCTACATTTGCCACACTCCACCCAGGTGAAGTAAATGGGTACCTGGTAGGAATTTATTCCTTGAAACGCAGCGCGCGTAACAGCTGCACTGCTAAAGCCAGGGTAATTATGCTGCATTATTGTAGAGCGCTTAGAGACTTTTGACAAAGTAAGTGTTAGGCGCTATATAAGCACTGTAATTATTATAGAGCCAGAAGCGATTATATCTTCAATACAACACAGAGTTTAAACACCTTTCCTTCTCTCAAGTGAAGATACAAAATCATGTCGTTGGCTTGATACTTTTGCTGGGGTTGCAATCAAGAGGTCTGACTTAAGAATGCTTACAATAATCTCGTTCAAATATAATACTTCAGATGAGATTAGAACTTATAACTTCATCTTGACAAGCAAATGAAAAGTCATGGAAATCTTAAATTCAAGCATTTTTATGAACCCTGTTTAACTGTCCCCAATGTGCAGAGACTGCCAGAGCGAATGCCATGCTTCGTCGAGCCAACCGCATCGTGGATAACACCCAGGCTAGTCTTAACATGTCCATTCACTTGGAGCAGAATGCCCACACACCAGAGAGCTCAGATACAGAGGAACTCCTGGCAGGAGACCAAGAATTAATGACGAGAGTGCAAACACGGTAAGCTAAATAGTGATGGCTCCCTAAACATCACCTGTAGCCGGTATTCTTGCCGGTGCATATACAGTCTTCTCGGTCTGCGTATCAACGTAGTATGGTTCTGTACATCATAGTGGCAACGTAGTAGAAAAGGCCGCTTGGTCGACAATGGTCTAGATGTAATTGAAGTGGCAGCGAGTCAGCAGCGCTTTTGAGGTAGAAGCATGGCAGTACAGTCGCGATGTATTCTCTAATGTGCCAAATTATTGGATCTTGATTATTAGATAACTTTTTCATAACGGGGTGATCGGCATGGTCTTCGTAAGTTTGCAGCGATGTATGAACGGGTGTTAATCTTGGTGCTAATACCAAGCGTTCAGGGAAAAAAAGAAAGAAAAAAAACACCAATTGTAAATTCTCCTTGACAAGGGTACAAACATGGGCATAATGATTGATCATAATGTCTTTATATGCTCTACAAAATTCTGAAGTCAGCCATGTGGCTGTGAATGGATTTTTAACTAATCTGTTACCATTACTATTTGTAATGAATTCAATGCATCTTATACCTGCAGAAATGTGGTTATCACCCAAACAAACCCATCTAATGCTGCATTGCCATGTTTCGCTCAGTTTGGAACGATAGTATGTGAATATTTGCTCAGATGCCTGTGGATGTCTTTTTTTCTTTCTCTTTTATACATTTCTTTTCACATTTCACCATTAACTCTGGCACAGTCTGCCTTTGTTGCATCATCATACTTATTGGATTAGATGTTTATATTTTGTTAAGAAAAATAAGAAAAAAAATTATGTTGTGACAATCTATTTTTTTATTTTTTCTTATTCCTTAGAATGAAAGCAGAAGGAGATGCTCCCACGGATCCTGCAACTCAGAAAATGCTGGATCATTTTCTCGAAGACTGCATCCTTTCATCAGGAAGGGTGAGTCTATGATTATGTTAATAATCCAGAAGAGAGAGAGAGAGAGAGAGAGAGAGAGAGGGAGAGAGAGAGAGAGAGAGAGCATTTGAGTGAGTTACGTATGGAGCGGAGGAGCTATGAGAGGGGAGAGAGAAAAAGAGAGGGGGGGGGGGAGAGCATGTGAGTGAGTGACATAGAGAGCAAGGGGAGCTACATGTATGAGAGGAAGAGAGATACAAATGATGACATAGAAAGAGATTGGAAAGGAAAAAACAGAGAGGAGGGATGAGAAAGAGAGAAAGAAAGAGAGATAGAATGGATGAATCCGTAGTATTGCTTCATATAAGAGTTCCAATGGCATAATGGTTAATAGAGTGTTTTCAAACCAAAAGATCCTGTTGATATGCTAGAGGTGTAGTGGTCTACTGGATACATCACCGTATTATGGGTCATATGGTTCGCAGTTCAAGTCCCGCCGCAGCACTTACGTCCATTGGCAAGACTTTAATCTACATTTGCCACACTCGACCCAGGTCAGGTAAATGGGTACCTGGCAGGAATTAATTCCTTTCAATGCTAGAGCACCATAACGACAGCCATGCTAAAGCCAGGATAATAATTGTGAAGCACCAGGGACTCAGTGACAAATATGCCGATAAGCAATCAGAAGTAAGGATTAGCTAGCTTATAACAAAAAACTGTCATTCGTCACTGATGACAAATTTTGTGAAATGGGGCCCAGGAGTGTCAAGTCTGACAGACATGAGCAGTATATAATAACCAACTATTATTTACCCACTAGTTCAATCAGATTTGGTGTTTAAAATCTTCAGATACCCAACTTACATGTACATGTATATCTACTAGAATCTGCAAGTTGCAAGTTCTTTGGTATCTTATTCAGAAGTGCAATGAAAGCATCCTGAAACATCAATATTAAATCAAGTTAGAAACCTGAATTGGCAATTGATTTAACACAGAATGTTTGTTTACATGCCCCCCCCCCCCCCCCCCCCCCCCCTCATAAGATAATAATTTACTACCACTGGGCTGAATTGTATAACATAGGTCCATTTACCCTTGCATGCAAACACGCCCCAAAATGCCAAATCGGAGCCTGACCGCGATGTTTCAGTGATGTTACCAAGGCAAATATGCTTTACCGGCAAAAATGCCAAGCCCGAAATATTCCAAACCGAAGTGTGATTTGTTGGCGTGTTTGTCGAGTATAAACGCTTGCAGCTTAAACATCGATGTTTGTCACGTGACTATAGGAGCGAGGCTAGCTTTCGTCCTTGAGGCCTTATTTGGATAAAGTAAACAACTTGTTAATGCTGACCCGCTATGAAAGAGTCCCAGCTTAACTGTAATATCTTGCTATATAAACCACATCGGGAAGACCGCACATGCGCATTACCAACAAAAACACGCCAAAAAAATCACTGAGCTTTTCAGTCGGTGATGTTTCAGCACAAGTGTCAACGGGAGCGCAAAACATCACTTTTTTTTTAATGAAGTATTTGACAGTATAAATGCGCCTCATGTATTTCTAGATCGTTCATAAAAAAAACTTACATGTATGTTGATGGATAATTCAAAGAAAACTGATGATATAAATTGTGGAATTAGGTGCAGACTTAACATGCTGCAATCTTGTACATTAACCACAAATATGATTTATTGCAATAATTTTCAGACAAGTCCTGAAATCTCTGAGGAGCGTACCTCAGAAGGCCCGCTTGAGTCACTGAAAAATATGCTTTTCAAGCTCCAGGACATGGCATCATTGCATAAGGTGGAATCAGGAGGAGGGACTAAATCACAGCAACTTAGGGAGCCTTTGTCAGGAGGAGGCAAGAAGGTAAGGCTAAACAATTTCATCTACCACCAGATTGAAGATCTAATTTCCACAGATTTTGTTTTGAAGTTTTGACCTGTTGTGATATTAAGCTGTACTTTACACCCCCAGTTCGCATAACTAAAGGGGGCATAATTTCATCCGTAGAGATACATACATGTACAAGTCTTGTATGTACACTGTATATGATAAAACAAAATCAAATCGTAATGAAACGTACAGTGACCTACAAAATGTATCCTCAGGAAGACGTGAGTTTCCTTCTTTTTTTCTTCCTGAATATGGGTCTTGATATGTGTGTGTGAAAAAAAAGTTAGAGAGAAATGTGAGCTATAAAGCATGTGCAGTAACAGCAGACTACATGTACATGTAGATCTCCATGGCAATAAAATAATTTGATACCCAAACCCAACCCATAATTAAGGCTTAGACCAGACTTGGCGTCTGCCCTGGCCTCTGAGAAGTGTAAAATTGTGATACTTATTTTGGTCTGTTACTCTTTGCAGAGCCGACTCTTTGTTCTAATTATTTGTCTATAACAAGTTTGCCTCCCTCTGTAGTTTCTCAGTTGTAGAATGACAAGCAGAATAATCATAACCATAGTGTATCAGCACAAAGATGTTTTGAAATCTGGACTTGTAAAGAGAAGACGGTGGTAATACTGATTGTGTAATAATAGAAGAAGATGTCCTACATTCAGAAAGCTATAGATTTTTTTTTAAATTGTTTAAATGTGCAATCTGATATGTGATAAGATTTTGATTAGAAAAGCATTTTGATCACATGAAATTTGAAACGATAAAAATGGGCTTCATCTAGAAACATACATATTTGTCATAAAATGTTCTTTTTTTAATAGACAGATGTTCAGATTGGTCTCTTTAGGTCAAGAGGGTCTGGAGTACTGGTATGAACCATAAATCACAATAGTTAATAACATATGTTGTAATTATTTGCACAAGTGCTTCACATAAAAAATGATAGGCTATATCAGACAACTCCCCACTTCCTTTACCCTCCCTCACTTCTTTGACTTTATCTCTGTCTGTCTCTCTCCCTGTCTTTCCATGACCTACTATGAACGTCTTCGTAGTAGGTCCATGGGCTCTCTCTCTCTTCTCTCTCTCTTTCTCTCTATCTCTCAACCTGTCTCCCTCTGATTTCCGACTTTTGACCCACACATCCCAGCCTGCCCTCCATCCATCCATCTCTCTCTTTCTCTCTGTCTCTTACTCTCTCTTTTTCACTCCCCTGAAGAATGCAAGGTCCCTTGAATCAACAACAACTTCCCATTCATATCCCCCATCATATTTTCCTTTCCCAGGCTTATCCACTCACAGTTTACTCCAATGTTTATTTCCCTGCCCCACATCTGGTCTGTATACATTACAGCACGCTTCTTATTTTTTTCTTCTTTTCTTTTTTTATGAATGGCACCATGTCAGCTGGTAGTTGATCCCAGATGACCCCAGTTGACCTTTACAAGGTCTTGAGTCTTTCTCTCTCTCTCTCTCTCTCTCTCCCTCTCTCTCTCTCTCTCTCTCTGTTTCTTCATTCCTCTCTCAGTCTCTCTTCCTCTCTCAGTCTCTCTTCCTCTCTCTCTCCCCCCTCTCTCTCCACCCCCTCTCAGTCTCTCTCTCTCCCTCCCCTCTCAGTCTCTCTCCCTCTCTCTCCTCCCCCTCTCAATCTCTCACATAAACTTACCAGAGGCATTTCATAAGGATCTACTACTAATGTACTCCAATCCATGCTTTCTCTCTCTCTCTCTCTCTCTCTCTCTCTCTCCTTGTCAAGTTCAGGACCACTATTCTAATAGTCAGGTCAGGGCCATGGGAAATAGACACGAGGCCTGGGTTACATGTATATGATGCGCCCAAACTTCTAATTGGCCATTAGTGACACTATGCTCCGAAAGTTCTTGAGTTCTCTTCCTTTGATGTACATTCATGTACATATTGCATCCCCATGAATTTTCCAAATGCCAACATGACAGCATGAAAACATAACAAACAGAAATACTACAAGGCCATGTAGACATTGGGGAATGGTAATTGGATGGCCCACTGAGAGAGCTCTATGAACATTTATAACAAAAAGTTGTACTTTCTTGAGGGCCAGATAGTAACATTGAACTATAAATGGAATTATGTGAAGGTCTCTTAATATCATCCATAACATATCATCTTTTTCTGGTTTGCTGCTATGAAAATAATTTTCATTCAATTTTCGCTCCTGGATGAATGTTCAAATTAGTAGTAAAAGCAGTCATTATAGTTTTGAACAGTGGTACCTGTATACATGTACTAATACTACACTACACATGTATGATGTATTATATAGTATCAAACATGTATGTTATCTCAGGCTTTTTATGTCTTTTTATGTTTATATTATTGACTTCTAATTTGCTATTATTGATACATGATACATATATTGGACTACCCGGTATGTGCATTATTTCTTTTCTCTATTTTTTTTTTTTTTTTTAGGGGGGGGGGGGGGGAGGTTCTCGATAATACGATGGAGGTTGTACATATTCTTCATGGTTTTGAGAAAAAAAAGGACATCCTGAATTCTAGTATCAAATCCGTATCAAAACTGTGTTCATGATCTTGTGTTGCTTCAAGATAAACTCCAGTTCTGGTAAAAAAAAGAAAATTATTTCTCACAGAATCAAAAGAAATTTACACTGAATGTCAAGATTACAAATAAATGACATGTGCCAAACAATTTTGGAAGAAAATCTATACTGGCTGAGTAATGAGCATAGAAAGACAAGGAAATCAAGGTAGTACTAGCCCGACACCATGTGTGTTGTCCCATATATAGCTTCCTGTGTACAATGCTTGTTACTTTACCAAGACTCGGTCAAATTATTAGGATTTTGATGACTCCAGAACCTTGCAGTGCACACCAATACTTACATGCTACATGATTAACTGTTTCTGATCCTTTCCACCCCTTTTCTTTCACAATGCAATCGCATTACCAGTACTAAAGTTTATCTTTAATATACATGTACCAAACTAGCATTAGACAAACCAGGTATATGTACTGTAGGTGTGAACTGAATGGTGATGCTGTGAGGGTTAATGTTTCTTATCAAGAATACAATCTACTGTATTTCCTCCATTCTTTTTCTTTCTTTCTGTGAATTGTGTACATTTTGTATACCATCCATGTGATTATTTGTGGTCTAGCGCCATCACTTGGCCAAGAATTGACATGAGTTTAAATCCATTCAGTTTCTGTGTGCAGTGCACCTTGTTATTGTTTTGTGAGAACTACCTGGGATTAAATTGGTTTTAACATTTGTTATAATATATCAATTTAATCATTTTGAAACATAATATGAGATTTTACATTCATATTTGTTTGTTATACAGGCATAGAATACTGTATAAATCAGGTGTATTACTCAATCTGGCAATCATGAAATACTATTTAGTGTGTGTCTTCAAAAATTGGTACTTCAAAAGGGGGGTTAAGCAACAGGAAAGAGGAACAGAGCAATAGAAAAAGTAGAACAAAAGAGAGAGGTTTATTGCAATGCAGTGAGAAAGTAAAGAAAGGAAGAGAAAATATAGAGGAAGGGGCACAGAGAGAGAGAGACTGGGGGAAGAGGGGAGGGGGAGGCAGACCGATAACTGTGATCATTTCAGTATTTCATCTGGATTGTATTTGTATTATAATTATGTCACTGTATTTGCCAGAATTCAGATCGACCTAGACTCTGCCTAAAGGTGTTCTGTCTAGCTCCTCCAATACCATGCCATATTCTTTCCAATTTTTGTCTTTTTCTTCCAAACATGACTCGGTCCTTGCTCCTGTAATCTTGCTATTGTCACCGAGGGGCATGAGAAAATATTGTAGGAAGTTTACAAACATAACAGACATAAGATACTGTACGTCTAGAACTTGGGAGTTCAAATTTTTCTTCGACGGATAGCATGCTACACAACTGTCAACCAATTCAAAACTTTTTTAAAGACACATTTATTCAAAATTGCTTTTGATGATTAACTTATTCTTTTCACATTGATGTATATTTCATATGAATTGTAATTTGTAGGTTAATTTATAATTGTTTGTTTTTGTTTAATATGTAATTGTTTATCATTGTATTTTGCTTGTTATAGCGCTTTAGAGACTTCGGTGCTGAGCGCTATATAAGCACCGTTTTTATTACCATTGCGATTGAAAACAATTGCAACTACATGTACCGGTATGTACAGTACATAAGAAATGGGAGACTACAAAATTGCATTGATAAGAGAACTTGCAATTGATTTGGATCAATCATAAATCTTTATGAGATGGGGGCCCCTGATCTCATCTTTCCTGTACAAACTCACATTCGTTTAGTGCATGAAGCACCTCTAACATGCTGTGAACACTCTTTATAATAAATCACCATTTTTCTCATCATTCTGGAATCAAAACTCCACCATTATTATTACATCCCATTATCTTACAAACGGTGTACTCCCTGAAGTAGGGCATCTGTGCCCCCACCGAGAAGATGACCTCATCAGGTGAAAGGTCATTGGGTCGCATCTATATGACTTGTGCCATTGAGGGAGGCCAGAATCCCTGCTGGTTTTTGTGTTATTCTTTGTAGGTCCACCTTTCCTCCTGATTGGAAATGTGAAATGGATAGGCCAAAGGGTGTTGTTTCTTTTTCCCTCTCTTTTTTGTATTCCTTGAGGAAAGCAGCAGTCTTATTATTGAAATAACATGAACAAAAAATTGAGTAAAGTGTTAGCCAGCAAGGTAAACAAACAAAAAATGAATAATGTCGACAAACATAAGGTGCTATATATATTTTGATTACCGGTAAGAAAAAAGTTCCAAAACAAAAAACGTTCAGACCTGTTGATTTTGTCAAGGTTTGTGGATACAGAGATAAAGAATAGGGAATATAGATTATATAGAGTGAAACAGACAGACAGACGGACATAGATAGAGGGAGAGAGTGAAAGAGAGAAAGAAAGAGGGGGACG